AACAGCCTAAGAATACAGGGAGGGGGGAGGGAGAGGGGAGAGGGGAATGGGTGGAGGGAGGGGGATTGGAGGGATCACTTCTGAGGTTTATCTTATAGGGGTACAAGTGAATCTTTCTAAGAGCAGAATGTGAACGTTTTAAAATAATAACTAAGAAAATGACACGAAGGCTATGTTAACCAGTTTGATGGAAGTGTCTTGGATTGTGTATGAAAACACCACACTGTACCCCCAAAGTGCATCAATGTACACAGTTACCATTCAATAAAAAAAAAAAGAAAATGACACGAAGGCTATGTTAACCAGTTTGATGGAAGTGTTTCAGATTGTGTGTGAAAACCCCACACTGTACCCTAGAAGTACATTAATGTACATAGTTACCATTCAATAAAAAAAAAAGAAAGAAAGAAAGAAAAAGGTAAGACCCACCATACCCCCAAGACTTCATCAAGGGCAGGAGACACCTACAGGGCTGAGGGGTTGGAGGATAGAGCCATGACCTTGTTTAGGGATGCACCCACCTACCCCAGCCCAGTGCCCACATCTCCTGGGACATACCTCAGGACAGGAGATGGGTCATCACACATCCGGAAGAGATAGCCTGAGAGCAGAGAGGTCTCTCTACCAAGCCCAGCCCAGGGGCCCCCTCATCACTGACAGCTGCTGTTTTCCTGTTCCCAACCCTCTCTTCTTCCACTGAGGGTTTCAGCCTCTGCCGAGTCCACGCTCCATCTTTCCCTGAGCTGTGAAAGCACCTACTGTGCCCTCCAGCTCTTTCAACAGCACCTACTATGCCCTCGAGCTCCTTGAGTGTTTACAAGGTGGAGGAAAAATCAAGCAAACATTCCAGGAAGGGAATTTGGCCCAGGCTGGGGCAGGGCCCAGATGCCTTTGGCCTCCAGGAGGTTTAGGAGCCACGAGGATAGAGGGGCCGAGAGGTGAGTATTGCTGAGGAGTATGGGGGTCAGGGCAGAGACCACCTCACCTCACGCCCACTGGACCTGCCTCTCAGCCCTGGGCCCACACCCTTCACCTGGGGCAGCTCAGAGGGTCTGGGGACAGCCCAGCTCTTGTGCTGTCACTCACTGTATCCTGCCTGCCTCAAAAATCACAAAGGGTTTAGGGCAACAGGAAAAGACAAGTGAAATGTATTAGAAAAAGGATGTGACGAAATCAGCTGAGGGGAAACTAGGGCAGGAGGAACAAGGTGAAACAGAGTCAGCGGAGCAAACAGTAACGGGGCTGAGGACCTGGAAACCCTGGTTGTGGGGCACCACAGGCCAGGCCTGGCCAAGAAGCCAGTGTCCTCAGAAGTCATTCTCCCAAGAGCCACAGTGTGGAAGACAGAGGGAGACTGGCACACAGCTCACAGCTCACAGCTCACAGCTCACAGCTCACAGCTCACAGTCTGGAACCCTCTGTGCTGCCCAGTTCAGTCTCTTATGGGCTGAACCCTTGAGCAAGCCCTGCCAGGATGGAGACTGCCCATTCTGTCTGGAACTGAGGCAAGAGTTCCAATCCTGGGGTCCAGGGCTTCTTCCCTGTCCTGTGAGGACCCCCAGCACTGGGCAGCCATGTAATTTAATCCGCTTGTCCTGTGAGATGTGTGGTCACCCACACATCACAGAGGACAACACAGTGACAGCCTGGGACTCAGACCCACACCTGGCACTGCCACCCTATCCCACCACCTCCCGCCTCCCTGAAGGACTGACTCTGGGAAAAGGAAGGGGTTCATCTAGTGTGTCCCCAAGCCCACACCTGAGATCAGGAGAGCCAGCCTTGCAGACAGCTCTGTCCCTAGAACTGTACACAGATGCGTGGCTGCCCTTGGCAGGTGGTTAGTTCCTTGTCACCCAGGGTGCCCGACATGATTGACCTAGAACGGCTCAGGAAAAGAGAGGCCACAGGGTCGGACAGCTGCCACCCACCCTGATGCCCGTGTATTCAGAGTCTGAAGGGCTCCCCCCCCCACGCATATCCCCTCCTGCGTTCATGCCCTCTTGAGCTATGTATGATGAGGTCATGTTTTGTCAGCTGCCAGCCTGCCTCTAACAACACGTAGACCCTACACCACACATGCAAGCCCAGCAGTGGCCGTGCCCTCTAGGAGAGGGGTGGGAGAGGACGCTCTTCTGACCATGTGCCTCACAGCAAACAGCTACATACGGTATACAAGTTCATGACTTGAATTCTTTCTCATTTAGTGGTCTGTGTTGTCAGAGGGTAAGATCTGATGTGTAGCAAATGTCTCTGAGCTCACCAGTAGTAACCCCCGGGGAGACCATGCTGAGGAAGTTATATGCTACCAAATAATAAAGTATCTCCATTTACTTTTAGGAGCTTTGGACAGCAAAAAGGGGCCACCAGGGGACTCTGAAAACCTTCAGACAGGATCTGTCTGGCTTGTCCAGCCTTACTCACAGTGACTTAATACATCACAGGATGGGGTTGGCAGGGCCAGGAAGCTGAGCACAGCCAGATCCCATCAAGTGAAAGATTTAGCAACAGCTTTTGGAGAGGGGCGGGCAAACAACAACAGAAAAACCCCACAATGCTAAATATACATGCAGGTATAAGATGTGTCCTGACTTCAAAAATATTAAAAAGTGGGAAGGAAGGGAATCAACAGCCACTTAAGACCTGCCAAGTCATCCTTTCCCTGGGGCATGTTTTTTAAAGCTCCAAAGACCAACATGTAACATGAATCACAAAGTCTAGAAAACAAAGAAAGAACACTTCGAGTTCCACAAACCTCAGGGCCCCAGCGGCTTTCTTAGCATGAATCCCAGTGCTCTGTGCTGCATACCATCCAACCTATTCCCTCAACCCCCCTGCCCTGCCGTCCCGAGCCCTCACACAGTGTCCCTATGGCTACCCAGCACTGCCCACGCGTCCCTGGCCAAGAAGACTTTCAAGGAAAATCAAGGCAAGGGAGGAAATTAACAAGCTTGTATGAGCTCCAGCCTGTGTCAGCCTCTGCTGTCATGACAAGGCTAAATGAGACCAACCCAACCATTAGTGAGCAGAGACAGGAGGACCGTGTGCCACACACATGATGTCTGATGCTGCCAACAGCTTCCCTGGATAATGACCACTGCCATTCTACTGACGGGGAAATAAAGGCTGGGTGAGGCTACGCCACTCCGCCAGGTGCAGACAGCCAGGAAACGGTGGCGCTAGAGTGCTAAGGAAGTGCCTAGCCCCAGGGCCTGTCCTGGCACCAGCCCCCCCTCCCCCGCCGTGCAGCCCTTTCTGCAGAATCCACAGCCAGA